TGCTTTATTGTTTTAATGTGTTTAATGAAGTAAAGTTAATATTAGTCTCTTATCATAATTTTTATTTCTCACGTTCATTAATTTTTTATTTTCATTTGGTTTATTAATTAGTTAGTAATTATTAATTATTCCATGAGCCCAAGTGCTTGGAGTTTATGGACATTTTTTACCCCACCTTGAGCTTGTGGAAGGTGCAAGTTTTCAGCTTAAATAGATGATTTTTCTGTTCTCGGTGTCACGATCTGCCCTGATAGCTCACCTCAATTACTCATGCCTTTCACCTGCTTAACTCTGTCCAGCTCCTAATTATCACTCATCTCATCCACCTGCCGGTTTCACTTTCCTCCCTATTGGGCTTAATTCAAGCTATCGGGACAGGATCATAGTTGGGTGTCTGTTTGTGTCCTGTCTGTTGGTTTTGTTGGTTAGATTTATACCCATGTTCCTGTGAGGAGTTTATTCTCAAGCCAGTGTCCTCAGGCGAATTATTCCGTAACCACTGCTGAGAGCGTTTCAGCGTTTCCCCAGGGGTTCTGTTTTCCTGATTCCGTTCCCTCTCATCCACTGGCCCTGTCTGTCCCTGCCTGATCTGTTCGCCTGAACCACGGTTGGACTCCTGCTGGATTCTGCATCCCAGGTGCGTTTCTGTCTGAGCTGGATGCTCGACACAGACCTTCACGCTCTGATGGATTCCTGGAACCCATCAGGGATCTGAATCCCTGTCCTGGATCGGAGTCATTCTTGCTCACTCGGTTTGCTGCATGCTTATCCTGCCTAAGATTGAGAGGATGGACTGAACTGTTAAACCAGAGTGTCAGTGATTGACTGCATTCCCCCCCTGCAGTGGCTACAGGTCAACAGATCCTCAGCAGTGTGCTTTGTTTCTGTTCTATTATGATTTTTTGTTTGAATAAAAGTTTTGAACTTTCCTACTGGCTGTCTCACCTTGAATACTGGGTCCATCTGTCTCGTTTTATGACACTCAGATAAACTTAATAATTGCTGCTGCTCTCTAATAATTCTCATATCAGAGATATTTGATATTGTGGATAAAAAATCATAAGTAAGCAATAGAAATCTTAAAAAAAAATTCTTATTAGTGTCCTTAGCGACAACTTGACACAGATGCCTATCGGGTTCAGTTTACATAGGATGTATAATCTTTTTATTTTACTTGTTTTCCAAAAATAAAGTTTCAGTGCCAAAACAGAACAGGGCTTGACATGAACTTTTTTGTTACTAGCCAATCAGGATTTTCACTAACCACAATTTTTTTGTTTATTTTTAGTATAATTAAAGTTGACAATGGGTGCTATCATGTACTCGAAAGAGTCTTACAACTTTCTAAATGTCAAAGACCCTCGTACCAACTTACATTAAGATCATGTAAAATGTTTAACACTGCAGGACATAATAAGGTATTTACCTAATATAAGGTTCTGTCTGAAGATCCTTCTATATGTAATATGCAGTGTATAATAATTTTATATAGTGGTGCAGAGAAGTGTAAGATAAAAACTCAACTGGAAAATCACTGATAAGAATCTCTGGTTCAGTATTTTATACAAGATAGAACAATAAAACAAAGCAGCTGATCAAACATTAGAATAAAGATAACTTTGAGAAACTGTCAGAACAGTTCATTAATTTCAACCAGTCTTAATCTACTCTCCATCATTCCCTTTTCTTCTTCTTTGTCTTTCCTTCCCTTGATTAATCTTCAGGTTTGCTTTTAGTCTTCTGACCAAATAGTTTGACACCTTTAATGTTCTGGGATGCATCCCATTTCATTTTGATTATTATTTCAGAAAACAATTATTTTCTTAAGAAAACAAAAGCAGTGTATATGGAAGTCAACCTGCCAAAGTCGCTAGTCGTAGTGGCAATGCAACCTGCCACGGTGTTAAAGTCAGCCCTGATTCTACACAAATATATTCATTTGTTTTCCACAACCAAAGCCCATCATCATTTCATCATCCACCCCACTATACCTCTTTCAGCCAATGTTAGATTTATTTCTCTGTTGTGTTAATCTTCTCAAAAATATTTAGAATGCACTGATATTGGTGCACAGCAGCAGTTTAAGGCCTAAAACATCCCTGCTAACAGACTCCCTAACATCACTAATCACATTTAAAATTGTTTTTTTGCTTAGTGGTAGCTGGCATCTTCTATGTCTGATATTTATAAACTTTGATTTAAACAGGATTTTCAGAGAGGAAAATCTTCTTGTAAACTATGAAAACAAAGTTGAAATAAATGTACTGAATATTTCGTACAAAAATCAATAAAAAAGTAGGCAACTGTGTCTGTGATCTTTGCAGTACAGACAGATTTCACAGAGAATATAAGAAAATAATAATCTAACCTCTACATTGATGCTGAGCAAAAATTTTTTTGTCTTGCTCACTGAAACAAACTCAAATCATCATTAATGTAATGTCTGCAGAGTAAACATATCTCTGAATCTTAAACCTCATGCTACAGAATCTTTAGAAACGTAGGGCCTGATCTTCAAAGATTCAGATTAAATGGTCCTAATTTTTAATTTTTTTTTAGTTTGTGGGGCTGACCTACAAAGATTGCTGCACAAATGCTGATGCCGGTAAACTGTTTTGGTTTCACCCCTTAGAATGTGCTGAAAGTTTGTTCTACTGGCAAAGGGGAGTTTTCATATAAGAAAGACGAGGTTCAAAGACATGCAGCAGGGAATTAAACTAGAAAAAAATATTTAAATATTCATAAATTATCAGATAATATCTATCTATCTATCTATCTATCTATCTATCTATCTATCTATCTATCTATCTATCTATCTATCTATCTATCTATCTATCTATCTATCTATCTATCTATCTATCTATCTATCTATCTATCTATCTATCTATCTATCTATCTAATAAGTTAAATAAAAAAAAACTGTTGCAGCCTCTTTTGATGTTATTTATTTTTCATTATCCCAGAATAAACTACAGGACTGTATTTCAGTTATTCTTCTTTACTTTGTATTTGTTGTAGAAAGATTGTCTACCTTTCCGCTACAGAAAGGTTATTTCTTAATATAATTCTACTATGTTATTTTTTTAAAAGCCCATATATGTTTACAAGCAAACATAATCTCCCTCCATTGCCTGTGATGATACTGATTGATCCATGATCCTCTTTTCTAGCAGCAATGACAGCAGAAATGTTTAAATGTGTGTTTACAGTTCTAGTACATGACTGAAAAGATGCAAAAAACATTTACCATGGGGAATATGTTTGCCAGGTACAAACATATACCCCATACTATACGTATGATTACGTATACATATCCTCCACCCTTGAATTTTGGCAGTGTGGTCATTAAAATATGATCTTCATATTGATGAAGGCCCACAACCAAAAAATAAGGGTTGCACAGACTGTCTTCTGAATTGCAAATGCTAATCACTTTGCACCTTCTTTGAAGATGTCTGCATGTAAAAGCATGTTTCTACACGCAAATCTTTTGAAGATCTGGCACTTGGTCTTTGGCTGTGGAAACAGACAGAACTAACGTTAAGAGAAACCTGGTCTATAGCAGTTCAGCACTATGTTACTTATTGGAAACATGAAAAAGGACAGAAATATCAGAACTGTAGAAAAAAAGGTTATTTTCAAATTAAATGGGTTGAAAATAGAAGTAGAGCGTCTAGACTTTGTTTCTTTTAGTTTATTTGTGGATAATAGCTTTTATTTTGAGTCAGAGCAGCTCAGAGTTAAGGTGGAGGCTTGAAGCAACGGGTACCAATTATTTGAAAATCCTATAAACAGCTCAGAGTTCCAGTATTAGTTTATGTTACACTTTCTGAAATCACCATGCTGCTAAATTAGTTTGATGTTGAGTTAAAATAAAATTGACCCTGGTGTCAGTTGAGGTAGTTTACCAACAGATTTTTGTGAAGTTCTTAATTGTGCATAAAAGCAGAGTTTTTTATTGAATTTTGTGTATTTGAATTAGAGGTAGTTTCAGTCTTTTTAAAGGCACATATTTTTAGTCTATGCTAGCTGTTTAATGATACAATAATCAGGCATAGTTTCATGAGAGAAGAGACATAAGAAATATTCATAAAACACATAAAAAAAATCCAACAAAATGGATATGATGCAGCTGTAAGAGACAAAATGAAGGCGTACCAGTTGATATGAAAATGCAAATCCTCATTAGGTTAGTCTAATGTTGATCTTTACAATACATTACTGTAGGAGAGAATTATTTGATAAAAAAGATAGTGGCAGAGTGATCTCCCGTAGACAGCTGCAGATAGGCAGCAGCACCCCTCGCAACCCCACTTGGGATAAAACGTTAGAAAATGGTTGGATGGATGGATAGTGGCAGAGTGATGAAGTTCTTCGTTGCACTTATGTTAATGCACCAAAAAATCACCTTCAATGCCTTTAATGCATGTTTTGCGTCATCTATTTAGCAGACTGGGTACAGATTTGTCATACTTATGGATGAACATTTACTTTGAAATGACTATCTACAGGATCGTCAAAACTTCTACGTTTTACTTGAAAGCATAAGATCCAAGTAAAACATACCTGAGAAAAGGCTTCGCAAACTAGTATATTAAAAGTAAAAAATAAATCTTAAGTTTGTTTGGAGGTTGATGTTTTCTGATTCGATGAGTGCTTCTCTGTTTCTTGGTAACAATCAACATCAGTGTAATCTGTTTGATTTAAGCGTGTGCTTATTGTAATCACATTAAAGTATCTTGTTCCTTATTTCACCATGAATGCAACAAAGCAGTAGTATTCAGGTGTTACATCTTAGACTTGAACGTGGGCCTAAGTGTTGGGTTTTATGTGGTCAAGACATGGTGAGTTTTGAGCAACAATCCTTTACTAACCACTATTGATAAGGCATTGTTTCCTTTATCCATGCATCATGGTATGGCTTAGTTTGGTTCATATTTTGTTACAGTTATTACTCAGTTATCCCATGCCTGATACACTGAAACGGCGAGAGAGCTCACCTTCTCAGAACCTTCTTCGTTGCTGCTTTTCTGATGTATGGCTACCATTTCTATCCCTTGTTCTGACAGACTTCTACCTTGGTGGACCACCACACAGCCTACCCTCGAGCTCCTGTTTATTTCTGGGGTTTCACTCAGTTTGTTGTCATTATGGACACGGTTTCTTAGTCCCAACAGAAAGTTTCCATGGCTATTACTGCCATCTCTTAGTTCAGCTCCTTCACACGGTGCATGTGCAGATCTTGCTCTCCGTCCCCATCGAGGCATTCTGCTCTTCAGCTGGGGGAAGCAGCACATGGGCTTTGTCTTCCACACTACTTGAAAGCCCCTCTTGAAGTTCTTGTTGTAGTAGCCATAGACGATGGGATTCACGCTGGAGTTGGAAAAGGCTAACCAGTGGGCAAAGGGGAAGACGTAGCTGGTGAGCAGATCCAGCTGGTCTCTGTTCAGTCCACCATAGTCTGCCATTAACATAAGAGTCCAAAGGGGCAACCAGGAGAGCATGAAAAGCAAAGCAACTACGATGAGCATTTTTATCACCTTGATCTTTTTCTGGGATACCACTTGTTGGGCATGTCTTCTGCCTCCCGCCTGGACTGTGACATTGGCCAGTTGTGGTTGTCTGTTTGTGACAGCAGAGGAGCAGAGTTTGACCCCGATGCTTACATACATCAGCGTGATGACAGTGAGGGGAACCAGATAGATGTGGGCGAACAGAACCGCCGTGTAGACCTTTCTCATATGAGGCTTGGCAAAGTTTTCATAGCAGGTGTAAAGGGGCAACGTCTGATTGAAATCATCATTGTAGACCATGTAATGGAAAGGAACTTTCTCCACAGTCAGTGCTATTGCAGCAGGACACATAATTGCTACTGCTAACACCCAGATAGACACAATGGCTACCTTGGCAACAAGGAGAGTAAGCTTGGGCTGGAGAGGATACACAATACAACGGAACCTATAGTGGAAAAGCAGAGAAGGACACAGGCACTAATTAGTGAGGAAAAAATTATAATGATCATTAAAAAAAATAAAGCAGAACATTGATCCATATGTCATATATGTACAAGGGCCTATAAGTAGATCTATAGATTCTGTTAAAATTATCTATGTAAACAAATGCCATTATTGATCAGTTGGACAGATTTCATGACAGTCACTTATTGTAAATATACAGTATAATTCCTAAATTGCTGGTATGTTATCCTTCTTACCCACAACGAGAGAACCATTCTATCAGAACTATCACTGTGTGATCTTATGCGCAAAACCATTTAAAGAAAATTAGCAGAGTTTTCCAAAATGTAACTAAAATCTAAGCATATATGTAAGTTAAAGTAGAGATCTCCTTCAAGTTATAGTAGTTTCCCTGTTCATAGACACGTGAATCAAATGGCAGAATTAACTCCTCACAGAGTCCACCTCCTGAACCAATTAATGCTAATAATGGCACTAATTGGTTCAGGTTAGACGAACCCTGCTCTTTAAAAGCGAAGTTTGTTGTCCTTGTGTTAAAAGAGTCTATTCATGCATTATGAATTTATGGATTCCAATAACAATAGCTCACTCTGGTTTATTATAAAGACTTTTTGATTAAATTATGACACCCTGCTGGCATATTTGATCTTGTTTCTGTGTTTTACACTTTTTTGTCTGGTTGATCAATAAACTAAGTGGAGTATTTACAAGACAAAGTGTGTGGTGGGGAAGTCATTTCCTGCGTGAGATAGAAGACAAAGATGAAATCTGAAGAGGCACAAAAATATTCTGGATGCTAAGAGGGGTAAAACTTGATTACACAAAGAATTTATAAATTTTGGAGTAAGAAGTTGGAGTTAAACCTCCTGTTAGGTTTATTCTTTATACATCATGTGCATTGTTATTCTGTTCGCCAGATTAGACAGAGTAGAGGGCCTTCCTTCACATTGTGGATGTCACTGTGTGTATGGAGGTCTAATCTAATCAGGACAGCCTTCGTGTCTTCAGAAATACACAGGATATGGGCACATCTTGGAGCCGGTCTGATAAAGGGGAGCTATCTGTAATTCTTGGGCATAGAGGCAAGATGCATACAGGTCAGGGCATGGAAGGCGTGTCAGTTTCTATACGGACAGCCACCTGATGCAAAACATGGACTCATGAGGTATAAGAAGGAGGAGATGACCTTGTTCGAGCCTCAATCTTTGCTCAATTTTGCCGGACGCTCGCTGACGTTGTTTGAGCCCACAGCTGTGCAAACTCCAAGCAATTTCTCTGTCCTGTAACGACCTGATCTGGAATAAACTCTGTCACTTTTTTACTCCTGTTTTTATAGTCCTTTTTTTTTTTACACGGTTTTACCCAGTTTGAGTTAAGAGTAGTAAATAACTTGCTCCCAGGAAAAGAACCGGTAGGGAAGTTCCGAGGCGCAGCTTCCTTCAGGGGGACATAACCTCCATATTAACGCTCCAAAAGTGGCAGGTTGACAAAAGCGTGAGTTTTCCACTGCCAGCAGATTGAGATGGAGTGCAGCAATGTTTATGTGTCTGCTGATCAAGCCCTGTGCAAAAAATAGTTTCATGCTCTAAAAAGACAAAGTAAACACTATCAGATCAAACACTTCTCATATATTGTTTGACCTTAAAATGAAAATATGTTTTTTTGGTGTTTTTTTTTTTTTGTAGGCCTCTTTAAAGGATTACTTCTTGTTATTATGGCCTGCCTACACAGTTTCATTTCACTATTTCTTATTAGATTTTCCTTATAAGTTTTCCTAACATGCTGTTTGACTTCTATTGGCTAAAATTCCTGTATGGTTGTTAATTAAAATAACAACAGTGGATAGCTTATATGCTGGAGCAGTAGCTGTCATTACATTTCCACACCTGCCTTGATTGTGACCCTCAGAGTGTGTTTGATGCGGAGAGCAATCATGATCTTCCCTCCCATCTATTATCAAGGGAAATTTAAGTTCCCAAGCAGAGAAATAAATAATTGACATCCCTAAGAAACAGAGATTATTGAGAGTACCATCCTACAAAGCTTCTCTAAAGCATTGAGAATGGACATATTGCTCCAAGAAGTATATTTCTGTACTAAAAATAACTGCTCAGAGTTGATAAATTGCACTTGTGGATGTGGGATTGAGATGTCATTGATAAGGATGGGTGTGATGGCTTTTAATCCCAATAGTGATCATGGAAGAAAAACAGTTTTTCATACACAGACTTCAACAGACTGATATCTCTTTTTCTGTTTACAAAAATTTAAGTCAAAATTTTATTTGACTACTTGCTGTATATTTCCAAGTGGAAGTATTGCCTAACTTGTTCCTCACAAGCTTTTCAGCATCAAAAAACTAAAAAAAAACATTTTAAACAGTGAAGGGAATGCTGACATTATTATTATGTGCAGAAGGTGCCAGCAGGGGAGAAGAAAAACATCTTTTTCTGTTCATATGAAATAAATAATAATCAGGACCTAACTTTTTTCTTTTATTCAAGGAAATATCACACTGTTATGTTTAAAAAGGAACAGGGAAAGAACATTTTACACACAAAAAAAACAAAGAAAAGAATAAGAAAAAGGAAAAAAAAAAGAAAAATCAAGAAAAGAAAATTTGTATTGCTTCTCTTATCAATAACCTTCAAATGCATGGCTAAAATATCCAGAAAGACAGGTGCAACTAACTGCTGCAGATATAGGAAACCTTTGTGGTAAAAATAGTTTCTTCATGTTTATCAATGCTGCAGTTTGCAAAAAAGAAACTTTTTTTCAAAGGAACAAAAACATTGCAATAATGTTATTTTCTGGTTATTTTTATTAAAAATATGTCTAAAACTGGTCTCCTCACCTTTAAAAGTAATCCAAGGGTGCTAGTCAGCAAGAACTACTCTGAGGAGACGTCACTGTGGGTTGGCTGGAATTATCCATGCAGATCCACATTGGTAAACCAATTGCTTTAAACGAGTAGTATTAATAAACAGATATGCTGTAACAGGGAATAATTTACTTTTTATTTGCTTTAATTGGACTTTATTGATCCAAAAGCATGACTGTTAGGTTAATTGGTTTCTGTAAATTGTCCTTAGGTGTGAGTGTGTGCATGAATGGTTGTTTGTCCTATTTGTCTCTGTGTTGCCGTGCGATGGACTGGCGACCTGTCCAGGGTATGCCCCGCCGCCTGCACGTAGACAGCTGCAGATAGGCACCAGCACCCCCTGCTTGGGATAAGCTTGACCATAAAGTGGATGGATGGAGAAATTTACCTCTGCATTGAACCCATCCCCTTGGAGAGCAGTGGGTTGGCATCATGGGGCGCCCAGGGAGCAATCACGGGTTAAGAGTCTTGTTTAGAGAGCCAGAGGGGCAGTCTGTGGGAGTGAGTTTCAAACTCACAACCTCAGGTTTGCAAGCTCTATGCCACAACAACTAGGCCGCCACTCCCCATTATTGCTATTTTGACTGGATGAACTGTGGCTTTCTGTGGTAATTTTATATCAGTAATTAAGCTGAAATACAGCTTAATTATGGTAAGCCTATTTATGGTAAAAAATGAATTAACGATCAAATAATAATTCCAACTGCAGTTATAAATGAAGGCACTAACACTTACTGCTGGTTAATATAACTCAGTCCTAACTGAATAAATACCCGTATTTAAGTAAACAAGTTAACAACTGGTAATTATTAAACCAAATTGTTAGTTATAATATTTGAAAACTTATAGCCGTCAATCAAAATCGTTTGACGCATTTTACCTTATTTGATTATGTATTATTGTTAGGATCTGGAGGCTATGTCCATCTTCTCCACCAGAGGGCGCACTAGATCTCCTGGGGGCATGGGCTGACTGCAACACCTGTCTTCAATCTGCCCATCAGGAGGCTCTTACTTAAGGAGGGGGAGACTGACACTCCAGTGCCAGAATGTTTGCCAGTAATGGTTAGCAAAGCCTGAGCCAGCCTGCTTTCTGAACCTAAGATTTTGTGAACCTTTCTGATCCAGTCTTTTTCTGTCTCTCAGATATTCCTGCCTGACAATCCAAAATCCTGGAGAGAAGACTCTTTCAGGAGTCCGCCTGTCTGCTCTCAGTGAAACCCTGGAGGATTGTATCTGCCTCAAATCTGCCTGCCCGCTCTCAGAGAAAACTGAGGGAACTCAGTTTGGAATCCGTCTGCCAGCACTCAGTAAGCCTCCACCTCCGCCTGTCAACAAGCCTCTGGACCCTCAAGGTTCCCCCCCTCGTACATCAGAAAACCTGCAATACTTGGATCTATACTAACCACTCTGTCCCCCCTCAGTGGAGAGCCCCTGCATGACCAGTCAACCTACCAAGGACCAGTTCTTTATTTATTGTGCTTCATTGTTAATAAACCTTTGAACTTTTTCTCAGTCTCTTGAGTGATTTCTGCATGTGGGTTAGGCACCTTAATCCCATCATGACAATTATTCCTTTGATTAGAATAATACAAAATTAATTATAATTTCCAATTATTCATAATAAAATAAAAGAGAAAAGATTAAAGATCATGTCAATTCACCAATAAACGATCATAGTTTAACTAGACGGTGGTTGGAATGGACTCCAGTTCTTACAGACTAACCTTTCAACAGCGATTGCTACCAGGGTGAAGACCGAGGCTGACACAGATACACCCTGCACAAACCCACTCATCTTGCACACTGTGTTAGAGAAAGGCCAGCCTGTTGGATAAAAAGAAGAAGAAGAAAAAACACATTTATTATTAGAGAAAAAAATGCCCTTTTGTTTATTATTACATTTTTGGAAATATACAATAAGCTTTATGCAGTTTGGATCTTTTTTTTCTTTTCTCCTTTGCTTTTAAATGGAATCTTTTTCCATCTTTCAAATTAACATGTTCAAGTTCAGCTTCAGTTCTTTTTCTATGTGGAAGAAATACATGTTTTTATAGAGCATGGAACACTGAGCTTAACTGCAGATTTACTGAGAAAAAGATGAAACAAATGGAGACTGGTTCCAAATGAAGTGAGGATTAAGCTGGGCTTTCCCTGCAGTTACAGGCAGAGAAAGGCTGGGGTCTTCATGTCAACATTGGAACCTTTTACAGCAATATTATCCAGGCAGAGCAAACAGTGATATTACAGTGCTCTGTTAGAGAAATCATTTTTTGAAAAGCTCTTATACTAACACAGCACACCTTCTGGCACCTTTAGCCACATAGAAATAATAGTAGATCTTTGACTTTGATAACTGAATTTCATAATATTCTGGATGTATCAGTTCTAGTTGGAACAAAACATGTGTAAAATTAGCTTAAACTGATTAAACAAATGGTGAAAACCCAAAACCACAATTACACTTTTCAATGGATTATATAAACTACTATTCATTGCAGGAGGGTTACAGGCCAGTCCTCAAGCTACAGTGTCTTTGTTTTACATTTGTGCCTAATCCTAAAAAAGAGCAAACATGTCCTCAGTAGTTCACAACTATCTAAAGTCTGGGAATCTAATCGATTGATTTAAGCATGCTTTAAATAACAAGGAGAAATCAGATGTTTTCTTGCAGTTTGTGTTACTGAGGAAAAGTAGGACACCCTGAGAGATATCATCATACTTCATATAAGTTGTAACCGTGTTTTTAAAAATTTGTTCTTCTACTTCAAATCCTCTTAATCAACTATGGATACCTTTATATGTCAGATGTCAGAATCCAGTCGTCACCTTTTAGATGCATCTCTAACTTTATATGCCTGAATCAAATAATTCAAGTCAGAAACAGAGGAATTTGACTCAATCCATTTGATTCAGAGGATTTTTATATCAATCTTGACTGATAAATACAATCAGATTTTCAGTTTTTTTTTTTTTTAACGAACCATTAAATTACTATTTTTCGGCTGCCAAAATTAGTACTAAGTAAGTATAAGAGCTGATTTATTGCATTTTTCCCAAAGATCACAAAAAAATACATATGTCACTGCAAAAAAACATAATGGACAATGAAAAGAGTAGTGGGAAACTGTAGGGTAGAAAAAAGCATGATGGTTTTCTTGTTTTATATAAGGTAAAAAACAAGTGTGTTCCTCTGTTGTATTTAGGTCTTAAGTTTCTAACTGAGAACTATTTTATCAATCCTTCGACACTCTAATACAATGGATCAGTTAGAAAGCATCAACGATATGACAAAGACATCCACCAGAAGTGACAGGCTGAGAAAGGAAAGCATTGATCAGAGGAAGCAGCGATTACAACTCAATTTTATAAAAAAAAAAAAAAAAAAAAAAGAACTTAAAACCCTGGTGGATCAGCAGATAAATAAGTCAAGTGTGAGGATTTCTAATGTTGACAAAATGTAGATAATCCCACATTTCCATAAACATAACTGTGGAAGGATACCGGCCTTCCAGATTGACCAGGGAAATATTTAATAGAAGTTTATAATATAAACTGCTCCTGAAAATTCATAACTTTATTTAAAGAAAAAAATGGTTCCAAGCCATGACTGTACTCAAACTGCTAAAAGGACACCATCTGTGAATGAATTTATCAATAGAATGCATTTCCATTTAATAGCAGAGCTCCTGCTTGATCCATGTCACAGAACAGACTTCCAGCAGGTTCTCTGTTCGAAGGCTGCCTTTGTTTGTTTTAATCTGATGTCCAATAAAAGAAGGACATATTTAGGTGAATTATTATGATTTGGTATATATTATGATGATTAAGTTAAACCTTAAATAATGTAAAATAAAAATACTGACAGACTATTTTTTAAAACTTTATTATTAAGTATGGCTTTTGAGTTTTTATATAACAATCATCCTTGAGATGTGCTGATAAAGTCTCTCTGTGACAGTCTGACAGCCCCGTTGTCATGGTTATTTGGACGCATGGTTGGTGCTTTCCAGGTATTTATACTGATTTGCATACGTTTTTCAGGGCAAAGATGGAATAGGCAAATACCCACAATTCAATTGGGAAGGACACCCTGAAGGTAAAATGTGTGGCGACACACATAAAAATGAAATATCTTATCCACATTTAGTATTTCTCCTTAACGCAAACTTCTTTTATGAAAGCTGCACAACCTAACCTGAGACAAGCTGAAAGGTTGGGGCTTAAATATAGTCAGTACCTATTGTGAAAGATATTCCTACTATTGCAGAAGAAAATGTCACATTAAGAATTAGCTTTACATAGTCACAAATTAACATAAAAATGGATTAGGAAGAGCATCAAAACAGCTGATTATATCCAAAATATGTCAAATTAAGGGTATTTTTGGACACCTGAACTGTCAGGCGTGAGTGAGCAGACAGGTAAGATAAGATAAAATAATCAATAATAGGACCTTTGCTGGGATTTGGAGGGTAATAAATCAGTAGAGCCGGGGCAGGGCCATTTCACGGCATCCAGGTGATGCGGGAGAAATGAAAACAGAGTGTTTCTCCTCTGGTTTGGTGAGGCAAAGAGTGGTAATCAAACTAAGTAAGCATTGGCTCATTTAGCTCAGAGAAGTCAATGTTTTTTCCCCCACATTTCTGTGAGACAGAAGAGGTTGAATTTATATGAAGATGTCAAGGAGGAGCTGTCCTGAGACTGAGAGGGTCCTGAAAAATGTAAGTTTATCATTGCCATGTTCCATTATTGGACTGAATACAGGCCAAAAAAGTTTAAGCTGTCCCTCTTTTTTCACATTGTTTCTCATTGAAAGAAAAGTTAAGAAGCAGAAGGTTTTTATACCTAATAAGCCATTGACAATATTTTTAGTGCAACCCTTGGTGGATGTATTGACTAAACATCATGCCATGTCTTGACAGAACAACAGAGGTGAATGACGTAGGGCGGGGGTAGGCAGAGCACCACTCCAGTGCCACTGTCCTGCCACTTTTGCATGCTTCTCTTCTTCACCTGAAACAAATCAATGGTTAATGGCAAAGCCTCTGCTAAACTTACTAACATGCCAAGGAGGTAATTTGGCCTTCTGTTACGGGTGTGTTGGAGGAGAGATACATGCAAAAGCTTCAGAGCGTAATAAATATAGCATTAGATAAATAAGAGCAAATCAATACTGAAATAAATCAATGAATGCCTTTTTCAGTTATGATTTTGACTGTAGAATAAAATAAAACCATAAAGAGGTTATCCAATCTTTCTCAGTGAGAAACAGCCAATCAGACATCAGTGGTCCTGGTCCCTCATACTAAGTTTCATTGGTGAGGTTGAAGGTTTATATAATTTCATGATGATTCTGCTGAACAGATAGCTTAGAGTAAAGGGATATAATGAAACACATAGGTCCATGAATTCCTGCATTTAAAACAATATTATTATTTAATTTCATAATTTAAAAAATAATCCCAATAAAAATGACTTTTATGACCAAAGTCATCTTTGGGTGAAAAATAAAAGAGATTTTTCATTTTGTCCATCAGTTAATTCCATATATGAAAAATCTGGATAAAATGTTTAATTACCTAAATCATGTAGTTTTCCTCTTAGTAGTTAATTAAATAAATTATTATTATTATAATTTTTTTGTAAAACCAGCGAACAGGCAACTACCTGGCAAAAAACAAACAAAGATAGCTCCATGTCTGACCTAACATCACATTATGTTGCAGGACAAATGCTCAAATAATGATATTCAAACCCTTAGCTGGACTTATGGCCCTGAGAGAGATTTATTCAGTTGTCTATACCCTGATATACCTTTTCTTTTCAACACTACATATATACCGCAGAGCCGTTTTCTTTTTTTAGAGACACGTATAGACTAAAGAGCCAATTAGTGGACATGTTGGACTAATTGCAAGGTACCTAAAGACTTGCTTAATAATATAGCTGACTGCCCAGGGGTTTGTAATCATCCTCCCCTCTGCTGTTGATGGTAAAGATCTAACTTTATGCAGATGCTGCAAGCAAAGAAATGGAGAGGATTATCTTTGCTGAAATCTAATTTTATCCTTAATTCTTAGATAAATCTCAATTTGATGCCAGCAACAACAACAACAAAAAAATGAGGCAGAGATTTAAAGACTTGGCAGCTTTCAGTTTTAAAGAAAATATCTGAAGTTACGTTTTCTTTTATAATTTAGTTATTTCTCTGTGTGTCAGCTAAGGTTATGGGATGATTACTGCAGACCAAGTATCAGATAGATGTGTTCATTTAATGTTTTGCTAGAGAGCTGCATGAACACTTTTTACAAAACCACAATCAATAAAATCATTGAATTAAAATGTAAATGCAATGTAAATTTGATTCAAGAATAATTTATTGATCGTAAAGAGAAATTAAAGTTGTATCTATGAAGCTGACCCCAGATATCCATGTACATGCTAATTAAGTGTTCTGTGGACCGAGAATACATGGTTCAGTTTGTTGAGTGAAATGTTCATTCAGTTCTATCGAGAAATCGAGAAGCGGAGAAAGATCATACAAGCTATCAAACCCCTTCACTGTCACTTTCTTACAAATCAAGGTTTTACAGGTAAAACCTTCATTTGGTTTGAAATAATAATAACCAGAACCAGACCTAAATATGGAGAACCAGCTTTTAGTTTAATGCTCCAACAATCTGGACACAAACACTAAGAAAGCGTTAAACTGCTGGTAACTGAAATGATAAATTTAAAGTTAATTCACATGTCTCTAGAGTCACACGCTGAATGGGCTCAAAAGCATAAGCAATGGGATTTAGATGCTTTACTTTCCCTTCAGTTTCAT